GAGGGGAAAACCCAAGACACTCTCCTTCGATACACCCCTCCCTCTTCTTTCCACAAGGGGCATCCCACATCTTCCCCACCATACACACCCCCTCCCATCCCCTACCTCCATCACCAACGGACCGCAGCGCCCTCACAACCTCGTCGCAGCCATCGCCTTCGCTCGCCCGCCTCGTGCTGCTCGTCGCGCCAACCAGTTCCAGCCATCGCCTTCGCTCGCCCGCCTCGTGCTGCTCGTCGCGCCGACCAGTTCGCGCCGTAGGGGAGGGGCGCAGCGCTTCCGGTAGCGCCGCGCCCCTGGTGGTTTAACTTTCTATCTCGACCTCTTCCCTTATGGGCACAAATTCTGTCAATTTCAAATCTGCCATCAATAGGGCGAGGGATTATAGGATTGTGTTCAGGAAAGGAAGTAGAAGCAGTGTAAACACCGGATGCGTGTGCAGATGAGGTGGCATGGCAACCACATAGGAAGGGTCGAAGCCATCATCCCCTACGACTTTTAGAATCTGCCATGGGCCGTAGTACAAAAAAATAAAAATGGCAGTATCGGGAGACAATTCCTCATCCGAAAACTCAGACATCTTAACCCACACAGTCTCATTCCCTAAAGGTCGCCGGCCTGCATTGCGGATTGGCGAATTTGATCATGCCAGCCTGCCCCTTGTTCATTGCTGCGATTGCGACTTTAAGCAAGTGCAGACACGTGACTCCATGACCAGGCATGCCAGGGGTCAAACTAGCAAGGCGGTCAGGAAACAAGAGATCAAGAGGGTTGCAGATTCACCAAACGTATTGCAGCATGTACATAGTCATGCCAGTTGCAGAGTGAATGGAGTTACTGCACAACCCTTTGACCGCATCCAACTCTTCATCCCAAGGGTTCTGATCGGGAATAGTCAATGCACGTAGGAGTTGGGTGATAATCTGATTGATTTTCTTGACTTGTCTATTAGTGCGAGGATTTCAGCCCTCGGCAGTGCTGGAAAAGGCCTTGCCCGCCCTAAGTGAAGGCGGGCCTGCGAATACGTGCCAAGGCCTGGGTACAGGCCAGTATGATCATGCTAAAGGGGCCCGTTGGAATCTATATGCGGACATGAATCTTCACAGTAGCCCTTCTAGGGCTCACCGCACATCTCGGCTGAGGCCCCGTACTGACTTGTGCCCGGGCCATAATATTTATGAGAGGCCTATTTTTGTCAAATTCTGCATGAGGGGTATCAGACAGTTGCAGGACACCAGTTGGTTACAGAGTAACGTGAGCCTTTCCAGGCTCTTTCCGGAGGCTGCAGCCTTGACGGGCAGTTGAGCCCAGAACCCCGTACGGTTGAGGCCCTGGGCATGAGCCACCAGAGGCCGACACATCACAGAACGGCCGCAGGCCAATGAGAATGCAGCATCTTCGTCACACACTAGCCACGAGCCAAGGGGATCGCAGCAAACATGTGGAGGCCCGTGAAAAGCCTGGTCGTGCCCAACTGTAAAGGGCCCAGGCCTGTAACTGTAACTGGGCCTGGGCGCAGACACGAGGGCCCGACTGGAAGAGACTGGAGGCTCGCCCTGCCAGGTCCAGAGGCAGCAGCGGCTGAGCTCACTTTCCATATAGGGAAGTGAGCATCGCTGGGGAGGTCACTCTGGCCTAGGCAGGCAATGCGGCCACGCTGCTGCGCTGCAACTTCGTGATCTGCACGAAGCTGCTGGCTGGGTCGCGTGCACGGGCGCTGGGGTGTGAGGTGCACTGCTGGGCAGTGGGTGCATGGCAGCCATAGCCGGCCTGCTGGGCACGGGTTTGGATGGTGATGGTGGTCTTTGGGTGTCGGGGATGCACACTGTGGGGAAGTCAAGGGGTGATGTGAGAGAAGAGAGAACGTACCTGGTGTATGCTGGCGGTCTGCATTGGTGTTGACGTCATGTACATTGGTCTTCGTCGTCGAAGTGAGCCTGTTGCACGGATGTAGGTAGGCTAGATAGGATGAGTAGAGTAGGCTGGGGGCTGGGCGCTGGGCGCCAGGCAGCAGGAGCAACATTGAATACTGCGTTGGTGTGGCCTGAGGGCTTGGACATTGGCTCACGAGTTCATTGTTTTGCTCTTATTTGGATGGAATCTTGGTGCATTTGAGCTCTCTGCTTGTTACATGACTATCTGGACTTCTACGTGATTTTGCAACTTGGGTTTCTGTTTATCGCTCTCAGTCGTGTTCCTTGCATTAGCTTTAAGATGGCGACCAGATGTGTTCAGTCTGATGTCATAGAGCTGTGTAGTGAAGTCTCTTCAATCAGAACTGATGAACCTGGTGTTCAGATCACTCATGAGAGTTTTCAGGGGCCAAACTACAAAATGCCCTTTTCAAGTCAGTAAAAACGGAACCAGATTGAGAAATTTGGACAAGCGATCGACGATAACAATGACCTGAGAGTAACCCCTCTTGCGTACCTTCCCAATGTCCGTGAAATCAGTGGAGACTTGACTCACCGGATGAGGAAGGGATAGGCAAAGGCTTCAGAAGACCGAGGGGTGCTTGCTGATGGAGTTCGTTCCTGTGACACACGAAGCATTCCTCCAAATACTCTGAACATATTCCTTCATGCCCAGCAAATCAAATTGCTGCAACACACTTCCATAACTCTTGAGGAAGCCAAATGATGGGTTTCTGCTATGTGCCATGTTCAGAAAATGCTTTCATATCTGTCAAACTTCCCAAACACTCGAAACAACAGACCCTCACAATCGTGAAAGTTATGCTGACCGTCCGGATCAGCCTTGACTTGCTTAAGGATTGGACCCTATTCCAGATCCTTGACATTGTGCTCCACCAAATCCTCGTTCGATTTCGGTCGGAGGTCGTAGGTGCGCACAAGGAAAGTCATTCAGGATGGCGGGACAAAGAATCAACAACACGATTGTTGAAGTCCTTTCTTATGTTTCAATTAAAAATCATAGATATCCATCTCATGCAGCCAGCAAGATAATGTCATAAACAGATTAGCCTGTGACACCCTATGTCTTGTTTGAGCAGCTAAAAAAGTCTGACTTCCGATGGAAGTGATGTGTGTGACTCCGCCTTTGAGTCATTGAAGAAGGCTTTGGTGAGTCGTCTTGTGCTCCACATTCCAGATCCCAAACTCGCATTCCTAGTCCCTGCGGATGCAAGCCAATACGGGATTGGCACAGTGCTACAAGAAGATGACGGTGATGGACTATGTCCGCTCGAATATTTCGATAAACAGATGCCCATCAGCAAGCTAGCTAGCTCCTCGTACATGAAGGTACTCTATGCTTTGAGGGAGGTATCGGAACATTGGAAGCACTACCTTCTCGGACACCATTTCAAGGTCTATTCTGATCCTGACACCTTGCAATGGATCAGCATTTGCAAAAGAAGCAAAAGTAGATGGGACATGAGTAGGCTTTACAAAGGCTGTGAACATCTGTTCACTCTTGTCGTACTTGCGCCACCTTTTTGCAGAATTGCATCACATTCAAGAAGGTTTCCAGGGACTTGCCTGTTTCATCCAAAAGGATAGAATGGTCACATCCCTCAGCATCAAGGACTACAAACCGTGGCTCCTTCCAAAATGTTTGTTGACATTTGACCTTGAGCCAGCCAAAGCCAATGATCGCCTTGGAAGGGCACTCTTCCATGGGTGACCGTGCAGTCAGCATCAAAGGTAGTGTGCACACCTTCACCTGGATGTGTTGATGTGACAACGGCTTGGTTGCCAACCTCAATCCAGCAAGGCTTCTGCAGTTCCACTGCCTTCATCCCAAGACCTGCCTTATGAATACCACACGGCAAAAAGAAACTAGCTATAGGACCACAACCAATCAGCGTGCAGATGCTCGATGTGGTAGTGTGAGTGCTGAGGAGCTTGAAATAGATCAGTTCCACTCCCCCTCGGGCCGGGCCTCCCCTAAGCTTGGCCCAATGCTCCGTGCGGTAGTGGAAGTCTGCTTCAGTGGACTCCTCCCTCAGCTCTTCATACAAGATCTTTTGTGGCACAGCCTTGGGCCAGCAAAGGGTTGGGTCTCAAGGCCGGGCTGCAAATCAGATTCAGGCCCCTTAGAAGAACCCTCACCTGATGGCCCACCCTCCCGTGTAATAGAGAGTGCTGATATCCTCTCTCAACACAGTCCCGTGTAATAAAGAGGAGGGCACCACACTGAAAAACCTGTGGTGGCCAAGCAGCAGCTCGAATCCAAAAGCTCTCACTGCGTATACCAGTAAGACAACTACTTAGGGTCATGTGAACTGGTGACATGCCACATAGAGCAAGTTTGTGCATTCTGGTTTACTACCATCAGATGGTTTATGAACTTTGGGGGAGAAATACACCAGTGGGTTAACCAGAATTACCACTGGGTGGCCTATTTATTCTGGTGAGCCACCGGGCGGTTCAGCTATCATTTGGAAACCTAGAACCGCCCTTCCCCTACCAACTGGTGACAGTAACTGCCGGTTATTGAACTTGAACATCTGTCAGGATTCAGGTGCTTTACTACTACAAAGTGCAGCTAAGCAAATCCGTCCCTCTCAGAAATGAATGAATTGAGAAGCACACGAAGAAACAAAGGTAACTGGAAAAAAAAACCCCCTTTAAAGAATCAAAAAGAGAAAAGGTAACCGAACATGAAAACACAGAGAAACACACAACGGCAGTCTGCTATTGACCAGTTTTCTCAGGGTATCGCTAACTCTGGACGACGTGGTGAGTTCTTATCCATCAGTTAAATGCATCCTGGGCGGGCTCTTGTTGAGTCAGTGAAAGTCTGATAAAACAATCTGGCACAGTCGTGCTTTTTTTCTGTGGATGTGTATAGTGAGCATCACAACACACAAAAATACAAAAAAAAATGAAGAAAGAGAAAGAAAAATATGGAAGCTCATGGAAAGGAATAAGACAAGAGACAAGAAGACATTGTCTTCCTCAGAAGTTTGTTCGAGTAATAGATTACGCTGACTTGATGGCTGCTGTTGTTCCGTATCGTGATTCTTTTATATGCAGGAGCCCAGCGAGCACTCGGCTGCAAGGAGGGCACGAAGGGAGAGGGTAAAGTTTTTGGCTCTGGGGTTCTTGACCGGGGGTAGCTGCCTGGTCACTGGCTTTGTGAAAGAAGGTCGGAGGGAGGGAGAGAGTGGGGGAGGGAAAGTTAAGTGTTGAACTCTGCAGTCTCTCTATCCAGGGAAAGGTCTGGCAGTAAGCTTGGTAACAGGCTGGGTGACACAAGATTCTTTGCTTGGTTGCATCTCACGGGTGTGGTGTCTGAGTGAGGAATTTCAGGCATGGTAGGTTGACTGTCTCCTTGGATTCATGTTGAAGATTGTTTTGACAAAATGGTGCATGGACTTCAAAGGGAAATCAACTGCGAGGATGGGGACAATGTTTGCGGACTCAGAGATGTGGTTGAAGTGAATTCAACAGCAGCTATGAATGGCAATAGAGCTAGTTATGATGGGGGGGGTTCTCTTTCCTCTATAGCGGATAGCATAGAGCATTTGGATGTGACGGCAACATCAAGTGATGGGCTTGCGAAGAATGAGAATGGGAGTTATTACAATATGACAAGCATGGGAGGTGCAGGCACCCGACATGGGGAGAGGGAGGTGGATGAGGAAGACGAGGTGGTTCTAGTAAGCAGTAGGGGAAAGGAGAGAGGTCGTGGTGAGATTTGGTCCCCATCACAGTCTAGGAGTGAAATGCTGAGGCTTAAGGAGGAGAAAGAAGGCCAGGAGTGTGAACATGCACGGGCACGTGACGAGCAATTGCAGGTTAGAAATGAATGCTTTGTTCGCCATTTTCCCTCTTCCCTGATTTGTATCAATTGCTTGCCTCCTCTTACCCCCTGTTCCCTCCCTCCCTGCCCTTTGGCCTCTTTCTTTGTCTGTGCGACTCCTTTTCTTCCACACCTTGTTAAAGGGGGTGCTGGAAAACTTTGCGATTTGCATCGCTTTGCTTCTGAATATGCCCTTAGTCCCGGGCAGATGAGAAATCAGCGATGGAGAGCATGCTGGTGATTGGTAGCAAGATGTATGGCAGAAGCAAAGGGAATGAACGTTCACCAGGAGGGTTTAAATCCAGCGCAGGAACATGCATCTGAAGTCTGAGTCAGGGCAGGACATGAAAAATAGTTCTGCAGGTTCGCAGAGTCCATCAACATGGCCCTCAGTCTGGCAGAATATAGTCCAGTCTGTGTCGTAGTCAATGACCTGGAAATCACTACAGAGTCACAGAATGGAGTAGAATCAGCATTGCAAATAGTTCAAGGGTCGTAACTTTTGACCAATCGAAAGTTCAGGGGTCAAAAGTTGGATGTACAGCCTCTGAAAAAGTCTCTAGAAGTTCCAAAAAAAAAAAGAAAAAAAAGGTTGCCAGGCTTTGGTTTAAGGGTCAAATCGAGGTGCCCAGGGCCTCTGGAAATCAAAGTAATCCCTAGGAAAATCAACAATCAGGCCCAACCCGGGTGCAAAAGCCAAATATTTCTCAGAAAGTCAACCACGGCCACAGATCACACACAACTGAGAGGCTCAATGCAGTTTCTGTGAGCTTCCAGAGCTCACCTGGTCAAGGCGCACTCTGGCCACAACATTCTTGCCTTTTCAGACGGCGAAATCTCAGCCATTTGAGGAGGCAACCTGAGGAAGGCCAAGTAGAGTCAAAACAAAAGTCTGGGCCTGCGCAGCTCGTGCATTCATTCTGCCAGCTCCTGTTGGAGTCCTGCTGGGAGCCAGTGCCCAAGGACTGTGGAGAGAATGAGAGGCTGCCATAGCTAGAACGGGAGAGCGTGGTAGCAATAGCAAGTAGGAGGTGCTGATGCATGATAGCTGAGAGTGAGAGTAAGGAGAGCTATGAGGTAGAGTCCAAGGCTTTAGGGAAGAGGAAGCTTACCTGAAGTGTACTTTCCTGGAGTGCTCAGCCATAGCTGCTGCAGATCTGATAGGAGGAGGTAACCATTGTAGAAGGGTTGGCAAGGAGTTTGAGGAAGCCTACCTGTTGGCTGGCAGCCATAGCTACCTAGACTTCATTCTGTTGACAGTTATTCTACGAAGAGAGAGTTAGGCTCTGGTGTTGGAAAGGTCCAGGGATGAAAGTGAAGGTCACCATAGCTTCAGGGTGGCAGTGTGGGCATGAACGAAGAACAGGACTCCATACTGCTTCAGAAGATAGACATAATCATTCCAAGTTCCAGCGTTATTCCACCAGCCTGGGATAGACCAGTGCTGTAGAGAGATGGTCTGAACCTGTGTTTACCTGGATGGATATCCAGCAAAATGGCGCCCTGGTACTTCCCAAGAGTCGTGGCAGCATGCACGCTGGGACTCTGAAAAAGTGGCTGGGAAACGTACTGGTGGTTAAATTTCAGAAGAAACGGTGATGAACTTGAGATATCATACTAGAACTGGCAGTCCCATGGTAATACCGAACTTACCTGATTTGGTCAGGATTTGAACTCTGGCCTGTTAATCAAACAATGAAGTGGTTTACCACTAAGCCACTCGAGCGGCGACATGGTGCAGGGCATGGTGCAGGGTTCAGCACCCCGATATTCCCAGAAAATGCAGTCACAAAGGAAAAAGCACTCCTATGTTCCACGTTCTAGACGTAAGGGGCGCGAGGTGATATGTCGCGCCGGTTCGCGTCTGTGCCGCGTGAAGTTATGCGCATGAGCCCACGACAGGGCCACACAACGATGTGGCTACCTGCAGCGACCAGTGTGCATGATGGTGGGAAGGGCAACGAAGGTACGAGGGAGGAAGGATGATCGAGGGCGGAGGCCGAGGAGGGAGGATGAGGGAGAACCATGAGGGGGATGGACGGCCAGGAGGGAGGAGGAGGGGGGAGGGAGGAGAAATAGAAAGTGGATGAGAGCTGCTTGTCAAAAGGCATGCTCCCTTCATTCGGACTGGAATGCGATTTGTATACATTCATGATGACGGGCATTGTGTTCAGGGGATAAGGGGGGAGGGAGGAGAGAGAAAGTGGATGAGAGCTGCTTGTCAAAAGGCATGCTCCCTTCATTCGGACTGGAATGCAATTTGTATACATTCATGATGATGGGGCATTGTGTTCAGGGGATAACTCAGGGCTTTTCTTCGATGCATCTGAATGGACACAAGGGAAAGGAGGGGAGGGAGGGGGGGGGACGCATGCGACGTTACAGCACCTTCACGTCTTTTGCTACGAGGAGGATGGAGGAGGAGGAGGAGGAGGACTGCGAGAGAATGGAGCTGGAGGCCGAGCAGAAGAATTGCGAGGAGGAATGCAGGAGCATGGAAGGGAGGAGGAGAACTGCATGCAGGATGGAGGAGTAGGAGGAGGCTGCAATGGAGGAGGAGGAGGAGGTTGACACTTTGGCAAGAACGGGGCTGACACATCATCAAGAACAGGATTGACACGTCAGCAAGGAGGGGGCTGACACGTGTTCTGTTCTGTGAGGAGGGGTGAGAAAAAGGAAAAAGAGAAGGGCAGGAAACCACGACCTGTGCTCGCCGAGGTGATGGCAGAGGTGACGGCAGGTGGTGGAGTGCTTATGAAGAAGAAAGCTACAGGGGATAGAAGATGGGGAGGATGACGGGCATAAAGAAGATGGATCGGGGAGGAGGAGGAGGTGGAAGAGCCAACTGCCATTTTGTTTCTTTTTTATTCGGACTGATTACCCTTGCGGATACACACAAAAAGGAAAGGAAAACGAGAAAAAATACATGCCAGATGCAGCGGCTATAGTAGTGACTGTGCGTTCTGTTTTTTTGGGGTGCAGCAAGAAAACACATCCTCTCTCTCTCTCCATGCTGTATTATTGAACGCGCGTGCGGGAGCGATGGAAAAAGAGATGTGATACTGCCAGAAAGAATACTGCACGGCCTCCGTGAGTCAACAAAGATGGCACTACAGCAAGCTATGGAAGAGAGTTGAGAGAAGAGAGAGAGCGTGATAGTGAGGCTGCGTTGCAGTGTCGGGTTCCAGTTGTCCTCTCCTGCTGAAACGCAAGATACTCGAACTGCTGCATGTGTAATATAATGAATGTCCTCCCCTCTTCTTCCCCCTCACGCGGTCCGCACACATTTTAAAGATACAAACAGATGCCCGCTGCTGCTATGCCTGCGGTATGCACATGCTCCTCCTGACCACACCACAAAAGAAAAAGCGCATGGCCCTTGGCACGGCCATGCAGTATTATGCAGGCTGGGCGGTGTCATGTGGCGTGGGTGATACCATGCAGGCTGGGCGGTATCACGTGGAGTGTGGTTGCACCTGGTGGAGTGAGACATACTATGCAGACTAGATGGTACGCGCACACATGCACAACAAATTACAAAACACACACTTGGCTGGGCGGTATCATGTGGAGTGTGGTTGCACCTGGCCGAGTGAGACATACTATGCAGACTGGATGGTACGCGCACACATGCACAACAAATTACAAAACACACACTTAGGCATAAACCGCCCTGGGGACAGCTATGGCATTTGATGGTATATCACACGCTCCCACCCAGAAAAAGAGAGACATGGCCACAGAGGGGGAACCAAAAACCATGGCCAACAGCAGGCAGGATTTGGCCCTTGCCACGGCCAGGCTGTGTTATGTTGGCTGAGTGGTATTATGTGGCCTGGTGATACTATTCGGATTGAGTCGTACTGCAGGGGATTGGTGGTATCCGGGCAGTACTATGTGGGGTGGCTTATACCAAGTGGACTCGGTGGCGGGGAGGTATTATGCAGCCTTAAACCACCAGTACTTGGGCCAGCTATCGGCCGCGGGAAAAAAATAGAGGAGAAACGTTTCTAGTCGGATGAATATGGGCGCTCCTGTAGTAGCCCGTACGTTTCCTAAAATCATGGCGCGTTAACGGGCACGACTCTAGGAAGTACTGGTGGTGTAAGAATACTATGTAGGTTGGGTGGCACTTGCAGGTCATACTATGTGGACTGCGTGGTATAATGTGGCCCAGGAGATACTATGTAGGTCGGTACTACCACGTGGTGTGGGTCAGAGTATGTGGACATTGTGGAGTGGATAGCAGGTGGGCGATGGTGCATGGACTGGGTGGTGCAAACGCCCCCCCCCCAAAAAAAAAAACTCAAGAAAAACAAAAAATTAAAAAAAGTGAAGCCCATGTGTTTGAGGCGCAGACGAGGACTTCCTAGATGTATTTGACGACGTTTACGGCCTGGCCTGGATGCACATGACCGCAATACGTGGACTGGGTGGTGCAAACGACCCCCACAAAAAACACTCAAACAAACAAAAAAAAAAAATAGCCAAGTCCATGTGCTTGAGGCACACATGAGGACTTTTGTAGATGTATTTGACCGTGTTTACAGCTTGGCCTGGATGCACACGACCCCAATTACATCCACGTTTTAAGTTGAAATAATCCTCTTGTGAGTATGCCTTGAATGTTACGCCCATCAACTGTTGACAGGCAGACCTGAGTTCGAACTCTGTGGGCGAATGTAAGAAAACACATGTGAGGGCGTACTCTTCTGGCAATCGGGTTGCAAATAGTTGGGTCTCTTCTCTCAATGGGCCTCCTTTGCACTTGTATTCAAACATGCCAGGAAAAACAGCAAAGACGACATACTCACACAGCCTCGGGTTGTGTTTACAGTGGACCTGAGCACAGATGACGAAAGTCCGCGTCAGGCCAGTAAGCGACGCAGATGAAGAAACAACAACAACAACAAGAAATGAACTCGGCCTGCAACAGAAAGTACACCAAAGACGGTGTGCTTTCACCAGCTTGATCTTAAATGTGTCTGCCCGCCG